AACACTCACCCACAATGTTCTTTTGTGATTGAGTGTTACTATTTTTTCTAACTCAGAACTTACCTTCACCTCTTTATGTCCCTCTACCCCCAGACAGCAGAGCTCCCATTTCTCCACCCTGGGCATCCATTCACGTTAACGAGGATTATAACCGGCTACACGTGCCGAATGTCTCAAACTCTTACTCGGTCAGAGGTATGGTCCACTTTCCTGTGGTTTATTTTAGTCCTCCACTTTGTCTACCTCCCCTCCAAATACAGCTGTCCTGGGTGACGAGGTTTAGGAGCGGTACAGAAGGTTTAGGAGCAGTACAGAATGAAACTTGTATCACTACTTGATACAAGTTTCATTCTGTACCACTCCTAAACCTCGTCACCCAGGACAGCTGTATTTGGAGGGGAGGTAGACAAAGTGAAGGACTAAAATAAACCACAGGAAAGTAGAGAAATCTCCTTCCATGGAGGCAGTGAGATACCTCTTTTGTGACCAGCACTTACTCAGAGACAGCAGGAACTCAGCACCTTGGTCGGAGGTTTGCCTCATCAATGATTACTGGGGCTGAATACCTCCAATCTTTGGACAGTTTTCTCATAAGAGTCAGCCCTGTCTGGGGATGTACAAATGTTACTTGTGGGGAACATTATATTTTGGGGATAACATTGTAAGGTTCCTCGGTGTCTGTGAGTTAATGAAATTATCCTGTCCTTGGTCGAGTTATATCTGGTAAATTCACTGTTTGTGTTGACAAACCCCTGTTTAATACGTTGGTATAAATATGTGTACTTTGTGACAATAAACGTTGCTGTTTTACCCCTTCACTAAATGTCGACTAGTGTTATGGGAAGGGCTATAGTCACATTTCTTCCAAGTGTCAGAGAGAAGTTGGTGGAGGTACTCGGTCGGAGTACAGGAGCTCCGTCACAATTATATTGCTTTATTATAGTTTTCAGTCTCTGTTTCAGAAGAAACAACCAATTTTCAACTAATATTAATAGAGTCGAGCTGAAATTACAAGTTACTCATCATATATAGACAGACAAACACGCTCCAAAAACATCTACCAAAACTACATAAAAGCTCTTGTCACGTGGATTATTTAAAAGGCCATATTTAGTAGAAATATAAAAGAATAGGTGCAAGAGTGCATCTAAGATTTTAAGGACAATGAGTGTAAGGATTGAGGTAGGGCTCTAAATATCAATATAAAATGTTGATTTTTTTTTCTCATTTATTTTTTATATTTTATATCTCTACTTTTCTTCCTTAGATGTCAGGCCTACAGCAGATGCTTAAAGAAACACAACACCAACCAAAACAACATTAACTAAATAAAGCAGTTTTGGTGTATCGATCATGACCTGCTCAATTATGGGTAATTTAGGAGTTAAATCACTTTGTCTCCACAGCACTAGTTACACCTCCCGGCAAGTGCTTTGCACAGCCTTCCTAAAATCTCCCGGAAGAGGTGCCTAAACATTTTAGATTCCTTTATTCCACAGTCTGTTTAATCTAGAATTTCTTATCTCCTGCTCTGCTAGTAGACTTAAAGAGCCTGCAGGGGCTCTTTGTGTGTGATTAAAGTTGAACTTATAAACCAGGATATAAAAGACATATTTTTATACAGGCTGCATGAGTCACAGCCAGGGGAGATGTGGCTCAGGCTGCATAAACAGAAACAAAAGTGATTAAACACCGAAAGGGCAGAGAATTGAGCAGTGATACTGCAGGAGTATGATCTATACTCAAATACTGCTTCATTAAACTTAAGTTGTTTTGATGCCTATAGTGTCCCTTTAAAAATTACATGGTTACACTTCTATAAGGCCCCAACTATGGAAAGAGGGACTACATCACATAAGCACCAACATGGAAGATCCTAATTTATACCACTATGTTACTATGTGTCTATGTATTCTGTATGTTGATTTACTGCCAATATGCAAACTCTCACCGTGGCTATGTACCTCTATGCACATCTGCTCATTATACAGTCCAACTGACTATTAAAAATATGCTTTGATGTGTGCATGGGAAGATGAGACGTCTTTTGATTTTATTGATGATGTGGTATACAAATAGTTTAGGAGAAAAATATATATATATAAGATAATGTGATATCCTGACTAGTGATCGTCGTTCAGTTTTGGGAACAAAATAATCATGTTTGGTTTGTTCTTCAACATATGCCCAATTATGAAAAGAATACTTGTTATTTATACAGTGAAGAAGAATTTAATAAACAGACTTAAGCCTTGCCAGGAACAATTTATTGGCAACTATGTAGCTCAATCTTAAAGAGGAAAACAAAGACTATATTTGGAGAGAATGTTTGGCAGCATGTCAAGAACTGTAATGTTGCAGACAATTTCAGAGGTTTTGTGCTTGTATTAAAAAGACATATTTACTTTTAAAGTGTCTCTTTTTCTTCAGAAAAACTACTCTTTAAGAGATATTGCAAACTGACAAGGTATTAGAAATGGAACATGTTTTTTTATACAATGTTTCTTTAATAAGTTACCTCCTACTGATATTCAGTGAATATGGTGTTTAGACTTTAGGACGCTATCTTGTCCTAGGTTAGTGGAATTCCCCAAGTAAGGGAACTTCCCATGACGTGTGCACCCTTACGTTTTAGTATAAAACATAGATAAGATGTTCAGACTTTAAGACGCCATCTTGTCCTAGGTTAGTGGAATTTCTAAAGTCAGGGAATGTTCCATGACTTGTGCACCCTTACGTTCCCATATGAAATGACCAAGTTATAGATTTAGATTTGCATAACAGTGAAAGGGTTAATACAAGCAACATAACCAATTTAGTGATTTGAAGTGGTCACGGTGTCTGTAATGCTTCACATATGGAGATTAACCCCTCTGCTGACGTAGGTTAAACCCCCCCCTCTCCCCAGCTCAGAAAATGTCAGTGGGCATCATTAGTCAGCCTGATATAAGAGTTCTGGGCTGACTAACATCAATTCTGTGCAAGATTGACTTCCTAAACACTGCCTGTAAAGAGTCATCTAATGCTTACACTTCCTTTATTGCACATTCTGTTTAATTTAGAATGTATTATCTCTTGCTCTGTTAATAGCCTTTCTGAGACTACAGGAGACTCCTGTGGGTAATTAAAGCTTAATTTACAGATCATGAGATAAAAACGTCTAAATAAATTTAACATCTGATTGAGAGGAAAACCATTTTTTGTCATGCAGGCTGTGTCAATCACAGCTAGAAGATGTGTGGCCAGAGCTGCATAAACAGATAATTGAGCAGTGACACTGCATGGGGTATGATCTGCACACCAAAACTACTTCATTAAGTTTATGTTTTTTTATGCCTACAGCAGCTGTCAAGTTGTTGAAGTAGCACCATTGGGATTCAGCAGTTTATTTAGGTGTACATGGACTCAGAGTTACCCCTGCTTCCTCATTTGCCCAAGGGTAATGTACATGATCCCTGCATACAGTGAAATGCAAGGCAGACAGACTATACCGAGAGTTTAGTTTCTCAACCAGAATGAGGACTAACACTGGACCAAAGGTGGAATTAGGATCAGATTATTATAATCTCTGTTCATGATTCATACAAAAATGCTTAGAAGGTTGCATATTGGCAAAATTGTGATGGTTGTTTCAGCTTAGTTAACTACTCCTAGTGGAAAAATATATTGTTTGTGCTTGAGGGCATTAAAAAGGAAGGATACATAAGAGGTGGACTCAGCCTAACCTGCAACTTATTAAAATGTTTTATCTCCTAATTATTACCTCATGTGAGCAGGGCCTTTTTCACTTCACCTCTCTAAACATTATTCGTGTATATCAGTTACTATTTGTCTTGCCCAGGAGGAATGATTCATTGATCATGGTGAAAGTATTACCAATAAATGTAGTGTGTATTCATTGTAAAAATATTGCCAATGCTGTGATTTGTGTAGTGAATGAATGGAGCAGTTACCTAATTGAGCTGCCATGATAAATTTATGAACTGTGTCTGGGAAGCAATAAGT